GGTGAGACAGGGTCTCGCTGTGTAGTTCAGGCTGGCCACCACCTCACAGCGATTCTCCTGCTTCAGCCTCTGGACAGCTGGGATTACAGGCACAGGGCCACCAGTTTTCTGCAGAATCCATTTACCGGAAGTGGCTGACTGCTGCCATCTGCTGGATGAGTACAGGAAATCCAGAGGATGGGAACTAGAAGCCAGCCAGCTAGGTCAGGCTGTGAAGGCGGCAGCCGAGCAGGTAGAGCTGTGTGGCAGGCAACTATTGAAAGGATTCCCTGGAGCTCCAGGACCCAGCAATTTCTGGGGTGGGGGGTTGGTACCAGGGATAGAACTCACTTGGGTCCTTGAGCTTGCGAGGCAGGCGGCGGAACCCCTGAGCTAAATCTCCGGCCTCTCAGGAATTTCTAATAGCAGGTTCATCTGGGCAGCCATGCTCTAGAACTTCTGGGGTGGTGGCTGTGGCCGCGGGGGAGGGCATAACGAAGTCAGAAGAGCAAACCCAAGCAGTATCAGTGCTCTGCAGGTTGGGGAAAGGCCAGGGTACTAAAGTATTTAAAGCTTTCATTAAGCCAGCCTCACTGCCACCCAGCAAGGCTTTAGGTCTGATTTAAACCTCCATCTCATTCATCATCTGGATATCAGTGATCTATTTCTGCTGGTGTTTTGCAGTACCGGGGATTGAACCCTAGACCTCGTATGACATTCCCAGCCTTTCTTTATTTTAAGGCAGGGTTTGGCTAAACTGCTCAGGCTGGGCTCAAATAGGCAATTCTCCTGGCAATCCTAGAGTGCTGGGAAAACAGGCATGTGCCATTGTGCCCAGCTACCAGTGACTGTCTGGCTGTCCTGACACTCTTTGCCATTATAGATAGCTAAGTTAGAAATTAATATACAGTCAGAGGGATGGGAGGGATTGGGGCCAATTGTAGGGGTGCATACCTATGATCCCACTGCAGCAGGGGGATTGCTGCAAGTTCAAGACCAGCATGGGCTACTAAGTGAGTGAGTTCAAGGGCAGCCTGAACTGCATAGTGTGATCTTGTCTCAAAAAAAAAAAAAAAAAAAAAAAAGAAAAAAAAGAAAGGGATTGGAAGTCAGCACTAAATACTAAATACAAAGATGTCAAGGGCCAGGGATTTAGCT